TTTTGTATAGTTTCCCATTTGAGGGAGAGGGGCATTTTGTGCATCTGTGCAATCATAATGCCAGCTAAAGTGTTCCAAATTAGTTAAAAATGAAAAACACAGAATGTGTGGCCACAAGTGCTTACTGCAGAACGCAGTGTAAAATGTGGCTCCTGTTATTTATATAAAGACATATATGTAGCCCTTAGATTGTGCTTTTTAAGTAGAAGACTAGTCAGCCCATTATACCTAATATCCTCTTATTCTTTAAAGTTAAGGAACAAGTCCTCCTTAATGATCCAAATCCACCCAGAGTGTTGTCTTCTGCGGCCCCTCATTCATTACTGTGAACGTGCTATTGAAAAGGTATACACGGATCTAGGTTTTTGGAACACAAACCACATTTTAAATGCACCAAGAGTCCATTAATCATGCTAAATTCTAACAAAACGCATTAGCCACTTTTGCATAAATCCAGATTTTCAGCTGTTGCCTGACTTCAAAGTGAGGCGTTCTGCAGTCTGATAGATGTTCATAGCTGTCTTATTGACTTGTCCAAAATAATCAGGGCCACTGTTCCCTGGCAGTGTAAATAACTGGAGAACCCAATAAGGTGTGTATTCTCTTACTGTGAAATGATCTTTCATGTAAGTCCTTAGTATCTTTCCCACATTCAACATTTTGGCTTTAATTGTTTTTCTTTCACAGCATGAAAAATTGCCAGATCGACTCTGGCTGACTAGGTTTTCCTTTCATTTCAAATAATTATATGAAGCATTTAAATTGTATAAGGGCACTAAACCATGTATCAAACTGCGTAATCAAAAAATATATTTTATGACTGAAGTGGGTTGAGAATTTATTTGCATAAAAAATGTCCCTATTTTTTCACTGAGTCCCTAGAAATGTACCACCTCTCGGCTATAAACAAGTGGCACGGCAAATGTGCTTATGATCCCCCTGAGATGGATGATGACGTTCCAGGCTGACCTGGGGTGCAGGCCTGAAACACTGGTGTATACAGAGAGCAGAGGGCTGGGGGGGACCTGAGTCTTGGTGTCGGCATTTGTATTTGGAAAACAAGAAACGTTCAGATGTAGAACTCCTCTATGTCGTTGTCCCCAGGACCAGCCAACTCTGGGGGTGGTAACGCACCTTGTCCAGTCTGTGTGGCTTTGGGAGCATCCCAAGAGGCCTTTGGGGATGGCTCTGTGAGTGAGGAGGCACTAGAAGCCGAGGGAGCAGAGACAGTTTTCACTGAGCATCTGGCAGACCTTTTGGTAAAGAAGGGGAGGGAAGTCCAGGAGGCCTCTGTGGTCACCCCACTGACAGCAGGCAGCGGTCCTTCTCGGGGCCCCTTCCATGTTGACCAACGGCTGCTGCATTTTTCAGAGGGGAGGGAGGTTTCTGCAGTGCTGCAGAACCTACTGGGTGCAGAATACGCAGAGACCACGGACAGGTCAGAGGAAGAGAGTCGCAGGCCTGTGTCCACATCTGTCTCCTGGGCACCCTCTAAGTCATCGATGGAGAGCAGGTGGCTATGCCTACAGTTCGATACCCTGTGCTCTGGCGGATCTGTGTTTGAAAACCACTGTGGTTCAGCTGAGGAGGCTGGGGAGGGGCCTCCGGTGGGCAAACAAAACAAGGATTTGCTCCTCTGGAAAGACCAGGGGGCGCTGGGGGTGCTGCTGGTTTGTCTGGCAAATTCTTGCTGGTGCCCACTAGGCAGGCCTGTCTGGCCAGGCCCCAGGAAACGGTCGTTGTGCAGGGACGGTTGGCTGCCACTTGATGTATGGCTTGGTACAGTGGTGCTTGGTGAAGGAGTGGAGTGAGCTTTCTTCTCGGAGGAGCAGTGTGCTCTGCTGGGTTTGGGGAACTTCTTGTACACCTTGTGTGCCTGTGGGGGGAGGGGCAGAGAGCACACCTTGTTAGTCAAGACAGGGATGCACGGTGAAATGCAGCATGAAACACAATGTCTAATCATTGGAAACTTCCAGCGATGTCTCTGCAATACAGAATTACCAGAACTTTTGTTCTCCAGATTTGGAAGCAAAGGCTAAGGCAGCAGAGCTCGGAGGAGCCTCAGGCAGACCCCTGCAGCCACTAGATGCAGCTAGTCCTCTTCAAAATAGGAAATAATACCCCTTAAAGGATTCATGTGAAGTGCCCAACAAACTAGCAAAAAGAATAAGGGCCAGGTGGTGCGTGGGAATGAAGATAAGAATTACCACGAAATGCAGAAAGAGTGTGTGCAGGGCTCATGCTTCTCTCTGACCAAAGCATCTGACCAAAGTTCTGCCCTGTAACACCATCTGAAGGGATCAGGATGGGATGTGCACAGATCACATTGACATGGGACTGGATTCTAGGACACAATGGGAGGGGTGGCTCATGGTTCAGGACAGTCACTCTGCCATGAGTGAGGCGCTATCAGGAGATAGATTGGCATTTATTTACTAGCTGTTAGGAAATAAATAATTCCTCCCTATATTTTTTTCTTCCAGAACGTAGGTATAAGTTAGGAGAATTGCTAACTGCTGATGAATCCTGAGAATGTTCAGTTGGGCGAATACCTCACCCCTCCCTCCTGTGGCATACAGCCCTCCCCCTGCCTGCACTGCAGCTCATAGGAACCTGCTTTTGCTGCACAGAACTGGGCACCTCTCTTCTAGGGCACATTTCCACCTGCTCTGCTTCTCTGAAATTTCCCCCTCTGGTCTGTGTCCAAGCCTACAGCCAACCTCATGATGCAGATTTCAATTAAATAATGGGTTGGAGGACAGAAGGTCTGGCTTTATTTAGTATAGAACCATCTGATTTATGAATCCCTCGAGTAACAAAAGCGTTCTGACTGCAGTTTTCTAGAAGGGCTATTTCCTTCTAGTGAATATTCAGCAGACTGAGATCACGGCCTTCGCAGGAACCTGGTTTTCTCATGGAGGAAATTTAGCTCTGCTACAGGTAAAGGAGGAGAAAATACAACAAGAAACATTCTATTTTTGACCACATGAAATGCATACTTGTTTGAAAGGGTCAAAGACAAAAAGACATAGTTGAGACTACAGAATGTGATGACAGATACCATAAGGGGCACTGAGGGGGAGACCAAACCCACCCAGCAGAGGTGGCCTTGCAGGTGAGTCTTCGAAGGTGGGCAGCAGTTCTTCTAAAGGATGGCATGAGTAGAGAAGGTGCGTACCGGGGAGAGAAGCCAACGCAGCTGAGGCTGGGGGTTGGCAGGTAAATGAGGGGCCTGTTGAGGCAGCAACAGTTTGGTCTGGTTGGAGTCCATGAAAAGTGGTGTGTACAGTACTTGAAGGGTGCTTAGGCCTAGAAGCACTGATCAGGGGCTGGGGGCATGAGCCAGAGCAAGAGGGGACTCCAAAGAAGCAAGAGGAGTCAGTCATGACTCTTGAACCGTATGGATCCCGGATCACATGCAAATACAAGAAACCTGCACTTCAAATCCTCAAGGCTTTATAGCAAGATGGTGGCACACAGCTGGGTGGAGGAGAATGGGCTGGATAGAGATACTAGTGGAAACAGGAGCACTACTTAGAAGGCATGCAGATGTCTTTGGTTTCTTAGACAAAAAAGCCACATTTGCAGTTGTTTGCATAAGGTTCTTCTCCATTGTGGAATCAGATGTTCAGTAAGTGCTATGAATTCTCTGCCTGGCTCTCCTGATCTTCTCTGCAATCCTCAGTCTCTGCACTGTTTGTATTTTTGTGTTTTGGTCCCCATATCTTGGTGATACTCGCCCCTCCTTTCAGGCTCTGCTTGGCATATTGAAATTCCCAAGTCATTCTACTAAGGGCAGTTTAAGAGGTAAAACACAAAGGGAATTAAGATTTCTGATAGTGTGAATTATGGATCTTTAAGTAAGATGACGCAAACTGCTTTGAGGGCAGGTACTAGGCAAGGTGTGCGTCTTCTCACCCCACAGGTATGGTCATCATGCAACTTCAATTTGGAGCAGTTCCAGACTTCCTGGGCCTGGGAGCCTCACTGAATAAGTGATGGGAAGGTTTGGGCAGAGATGGGTCCTGCTAGGGTATGACCAGAGCTGGTCACTTTGTGCTCTATTGTCCCTGAGACTCCCAGTCCAGCCCTGGGATGGTACTGTCCTGCTCCCTTTAATGCTCTGTCTTCTCTGCAAGGCTCTGGGCTCTGCAAGGGAGACCCTGCTCAGCACACACTTTGCCCAGTGGTGGGCACACAACAGGAGCTTAAGCATAAAATGGAGAGTCGCTTCTTTGTAACAGAGTAAGTAAGTAGCAGCCCCAGCAGGCCCAGGTGTGCCTGAGAGGTGTCACATCTGGGTGGCTCTTAGAGAGACAAACCAATTTCCTCCATCATAAAGTCTGGCTGAATAAGAGAAAATAAAGAGTGAAGTTGTGGAGACAAGGAAGTCCTTGTGGATAGAGGCGGCTTCTGAGGCAGAGGAGGGAGCAATGTTTATTAACTAAAATGTCTGTTTTATTTTTCCCAAAGATCAATTCTCCTGGGCTCCCAGTGTCATTTTCTAATCCATAAATATGTGCCATCTTGTGACTTCCGTCTTTAGTCTTATTAGAGATCATGCTCTTGGTGAGGATGCTAGCAGTCTGAATCTTCATGAAAAAGGAAGCCTCTCTGGGTATTATTGCTTCTCGAAACCTAAAAGGTCAAGTTTCCCATGCTAGGGAACCTTTACCTTTTGGTGTCTAATAATGCTGTTTCTCTCTTTGCTAAAACCTGACATGACCTTCAATTCTTTGCTTTGACGTGTTCAAGACCCTGAAAGCTCTGAGTAGAGGTCTGCTCTGCCTCTGGAGAGACCTCTTCAGGCCCCTTCTCGGTGACAACGTGGCTTCCAGCTCTTGGGGGCTGCCCTCCTGAGCTCCTCCAAGGGACAGCAGCCTGGCCACGATATCAGCTCGTAAATCTTTCCACTGCCAAGCACAGTGGCTTAAAAATCAGGCAGACTGGAAGAGGACAAATACCTGTGGTATTTGTATGATCGTTTAACAGAAACCCATCTGTCCCCTGTCTGTTTTTTACTGCAAGATGGAGACAGGCGTCCAGAGGAACCTATATTCTACTGCTTGGAAGAGAGGTGGCCCCTGGTCTTTGTCACTGGGGAATGCCCACATGCACAGTGGAGGTGCTTGCTGGGTGGGTGGAATTTGGGGCTGGCACCATGCTGTGGATAATGGTGGGCATTCTGGGGCAGCAGCTCTAGGGAGGGAGACTCGGAGCCTCCCTCCCCCACCCCCATCTAGGTCCAGGGCTGATGCACCTGCTGGATTTGCCTGGAGCTGCCCGGGGGGTATTCCCTGGCTCTGTCCAGTGGCAGCGGGGTGTCAACTCCTGCCAGTGTGGTCTTCTCTGACCCCGAGATAACTGGCGTGTGGGAAGGATGGGGCTTCTTTAGATGCCATCTCCTGGCAGTGGCTTTGTTTCCTGCCTCTTGTTTGCTTCAGCTGAGACACTAGAGGCTGAGAATGAATCACAGCAGGTGTTTCCAGAGACTCTCCCCCAGTGGACCCTTCCACAGTGAAACCAGAACCTGGTCCTCCTCACACTGAGAGAGATTTAGGAATATGGAGAGAACACTGAGTTTGTAAAGGAGAAATGCCCCAGATGGAACATGGAATGGAGGCTTGTGTACAATTCATGAACTGGACCAAGGAGCCCAAAGGGATAGAAAGAGACTATTAACCTAGTGAAGCTAGGGGCTAACAGTCGATTGGACCATGATCCTCTGGCTCAGTCACCAGATCCACAACCAAGAGACCACTCCCGGATGGCCAGAGACGTTGGGACCTGCCACCTACATGCCAGACCAGACCCCCTAATGGGGAAATGCCATCTTGCTTAATATTTCCCAATCCCCAGGAAAGCCCAGGCCCTGTGGATCAGACATATTCCAGCTAATTACGTACCCTAATAAACACTCAGACTTCAAGCCTGGGTTGCGTGTCCTGCTCTTGAGATAGCGGGCATTGTGCCCCAAGAACACTTATGGTTACCTCTTGCTGTCTGATGAAGCATTCTCTCTTTGCTAAAATAGGACATGTCCTTAAGTTTATTTCTGTGACATGTTTAAGAACCTGCAGTTCTGAGAACAGGTTTTCTCTGCCTCTGGAGAGACCTCCTCGGGCCCCCTTGTGGTGACAACATGGCTTCCAGGGGCTGCCCTCCTGAGCTCCTCCCAGGGGCAATGGCAATGGCTGTGATGTTGGCCTAGCCGCCTCACTGGAAGCCAGAAGTTGTCTTCATTGCTATTTAAGGAACTTTCTCAAAACAAAAGGATAGCATTACAAAAATTAATCTGCTTAGGGCAACCAGCCAGGAAGATCTCATTATGTTCCTTACATCACTAGAAAATTGGGATTCAGTGTAGGTCCTTGAACTTTCCCTGCAACTTTGAGCACCGGTAGTTTGAGGCTGGGGATGTGACGGGGTCTGCAGGGGCCCACTTAGCCAAAGCATCTTTCCCAAGGGTCCTGATGTCAAGAGGCTCACTCCTTGGCACATGGGCAGAACCATTTCTTCTCCTATTCCTGGTAAAGGTGATTCTGCCTCTCCTCCAGGAGCCCTGGCAGTGTCTCATGGCTTGTTCAAGGTCAAGGGGTTCTCCTTCTGCCTCACCCCTCCTCTTTCTAAGGCCATTTCCTGTTCTGTCCTTGGCAGAAATATGACTGGTGGCACTGTCTGATGTCTAACGAGCCAGCAGTGGACCTTTAACCCAAAGGGATGATAACAATCAGGGGCGGTCTCTAGGAATTTGGTCAATGGGTTCACATGAGAAATCAGATTTTTTGCTTTAAAGAAAAGCATCGTTATTTCGCCTCTCCTTTCACTTTGCTGAGGAAACTGTTCAAGAAAGAAGCCTTTGTGGTTGTTTTGAAT